TATAGAATAATTTTTATGATGCAAATAATTATTTTTTTGCCAAGTGAAATAAGAGCTTGAATATGGTCCATGAAAAAAAAATATTTATTTCAGCCATTGATTTATCTAGTTCATAAATATTAGAATCCGATTAGTTTTTTCATAACACTTTCAACAATGCCTCAACAAATTTCTCCACTTAGAAATCTTCTAAGATAAATTTGAAAATATTTTAATTTAATTCTGATTATATTGAGTAATCAAAGCTATTAGCAAAGGATTTTATTAACTTTCGGTTTCTATAGATGAAGCTGAAAAAAAATGTTTAAAGTTTTGTTTTTCTACCCAATTTTGGATAAAATCTTATGCTTCTTCACTTATTTTTCTAGCTCAACTCCTTTTGTTTTTAAGCTCTAATTCATTTCTACTTTTTTATTATTATTATATAGAGCTTAGAGATTATCAAGTACACTTTTCTTGTTTCATTATATTTAGTTTAAAAATGCATTTAGATAAGATAGCATTATTGTAATCTTGTAAGTATTGTTGAAGAAAGTTTTTTTATGTCAAATAACAAACAATAAAGTTTTAAGAATAAAATATTAATCCTTGTTCCTTGACAACAATAAAATATAATTATTTTTTAAAGTGTTTTGACAAGTAAGTATATTTATTTGGTTTTATTTAATTTAATATATTAGATTGCGTTTTATATATATATATATGTATAGAAAACATGTTATCCTTTTTATGTCATTAGAAGTTTATTATGTTTTTTATTGAATGATTATAATCATCTCTAATTATCTTCTTACACGTGTGATACTTTGGACAACATATCCCTCTTTATTACAATTCATTACTCATCAAGAATCCCAATTAAGCTTGGCATATATATAACTAGATATGTTGCCCATGTATTGTTGCATGTAGAATAATTTTTTATGTTAAAAAAATGATAGTTTTAAAAAAGTTAAAGTATTGAGTCATTGGTTAAAATGATAATTTAAACAATATAAAAAATAAAGATAAATAATATGAAAAAACTAAACAATAAAAAAACACACCCAAGCCTATTCAGATTATTAAACAAGTCAATGCTAACTTGGATGGATGAAAACCATAAATATATATATATATATATATATATATAAAACACCAGTTTAAAAAAAAAGAAGGAGGAAATCAAGTAAACCTAAACAAGTATCTTAAACGTAGTCTAATCTAAAAACTAAAAAGCATGCAATTTGTTAAATCATTGAACCAAGTTTCAATCAAAAAGCTTAAATATTATCCAATTTAATTTTAATATATCAAATAATTTAAAAAATTATTGATAAAAAAATTGAAAAATAAAACGAGTAGCAAAAAAAAAAGAATTGAGCTAAAATCTGATAAGAAAAAACCCAACGAAGATTAAATTTGAAACAAAAATCCAAAATTAAAAAAAAATGAAATTAAAAGAATTAAATCCAAGCTTGAAAGATGAAAAATCACATGGGGTGAAATTAAAAATTATTTGTAATATGATATATTATTTATAGATTAAAAAATGATTGGGGTGAAATAGAAAAAATTATCATGGGCTAACCCAATAAAACCAAATTGGAAAAAAAAATTAAACCAAAAAAATAACAAAAATAAAGTTTTTTTAAAATGATAAAAAATAAAAAAACATTAATTTTAGAAGAAAAAAACAGGTTAAACCTGACAAATCTCTTGAACCTAATTTAATATCATCTCATTAAAATTTTAATCTAGATTCAATCAAAAATCATAATTATCAACCAATTTAATTTCAAATAATGAGATTGGTAGAAAAATGTTAATAAAAAAAATTGCTAAAGTAATAGAAGAAATGATAATAAAATTTGATAGAAAAAACTAAAGAATGATGTAATTTAATGTAAAAAAATAAAAATTAATTAAACTAACAAAAACCAAATGTTAAAGATTTAAAAAATTAATTAAAATAACAAAAACCAAATGTTAAAGATTTAAAAAATCATAAAATGTGAAATTAAAAACAATTGTAAAAACCAAACAAACTCAAATGAACATTTTGAATATAGTAAAATTTTAAAAAAACTTATAATTTATGAAACTCTAAAATCAGTTGCTATCGAAAAATTTATTACAAGTTAATTTAAAAATATAAATTTTAAAAACCTTTCAAAGTAAAAAAAAAAGACCTTAAATGAGTCCGATAGCCAACTCAAATCAGTAAATAAAACACATAACTTTGAACATGAAATTGGGATGACCTTATGAATAAAAAAACCAAAAAATATAAAAAAATATAAAAATCAACTCAAGTTAATCTTTTAGATTTACAACCCAGGTCATAAAACCAGAGTAACCCCATTAAATGAAAATCCAAAAAAACTAAGAAGTAGAATTCTTAGTCTTACAATATTGAAAGATGCAATTGAGAAAAAAATCAATAAAAAAATAATTCAAGACAAAAAAAAGCAACTAAAATAATTAGGACTAAATTTGAAAAAAATAAATTAAATTAAATGTTTGGGGAAAAATAAAATGAAATTTAATGTTTAGAGATGAAATTGTAAAATAACAAACCCATCAAAAAGATGATTAAAAAAATAGTAATCACGAGAATTATAATCAAATTTGACACTAAAAATAAATGCTCAGGGGTGAGATTGAAAAAAAAAAGAATCTATTACTAAAATAATTTAAAACAAGAAAATAACAATTAAAAAAATAAAAAATAAAAAATCATAAAATGTGAAATTAAAAACAATTGTAAAAACCAAACAAACTCAAATGAACATTTTGAATATAGTAAAATTTTAAAAAAACTTATAATTTATGAAACTCTAAAATCAGTTGCTATCGAAAAATTTATTACAAGTTAATTTAAAAATATAAATTTTAAAAACCTTTCAAAGTAAAAAAAAAAAAAAAGACCTCAAATGAGTCCGATAGCCAACTTAAATCAGCAAATAAAACACATTACTTTGAACATGAAATTGGGATGACCTTATGAATAAAAAAACCAAAAAATATAAAAAAATATAAAAATCAACTCAAGTTAATCTTTTAGATTTACAACCCAGGTCATAAAACCAGAGTAACCCCATTAAATGAAAATCCAAAAAAACTAAGAAGTAGAATTCTTAGTCTTACAATATTGAAAGATGCAATTGAGAAAAAAATCAATAAAAAAATAATTCAAGACAAAAAAAAGCAACTAAAATAATTAGGACTAAATTTGAAAAAAATAAATTAAATTAAATGTTTGGGGAAAAATAAAATGAAATTTAATGTTTAGAGATGAAATTGTAAAATAACAAACCCATCAAAAAGATGATTAAAAAAATAGTAATCACGAGAATTATAATCAAATTTGACACTAAAAATAAATGCTCAGGGGTGAGATTGAAAAAAAAAAGAATCTGTTACTAAAATAATTTAAAACAAAAGGATAACAATTAAAAAAATAAAAAATAAATTTGAAAATAAATTAAAAAAATCAAATGACCATGATGAAATCTAAAATATAATCCAACTATAGATAATTAATGCAAATAAAAAAATTGCAAATAAGATAAGATAAATTGAATAAAATTAAAGAATAGAGATTGAATAAAACGACTAACTTTAAGGGTTGGTATGATTTTTTGCATTGTTAGCATATAATTCAAAAAAAAAAAAAGAAGAAAATTTTTTTTAATCAAACCACGCCGAATTATTATACACACGCCAATCAAATAGGAAGAGGATGCTAAAACAAATCAAATTATATGGAGAAATCACGGTTACAACTACTAGAGTCAACTGTACAAGCTAATATAAGACGGTGAAATAATTCAAGTATGTGAGATACGTGTCAATAATTTTTTTTAATTATACAGAACCAAAAATATCTTTAAAACTAAACAATAATAACAAACAAACCATAATGATATTATAACTAAACCTCCAAAGCCAAAACTATAAAATTTGAATGACAAGGGCAATGTAGTTATTCTACTATTTTATTAAATATAGAAATACAAAAACACTTTTTTATAGAAGATATTTAATTATTTTATTTAAAGTTTTTATTAATAATTTCATTATGCATTAAAAAAATATAATTACTAACAAAATAATTATGTACAATTTAAAAAATAAATATTTACATCACAATGAAAAACTATTTCATCCCGAAACAAGGAGACAATAAAGTCATGAAACTGTTATAATAAATAGTATTCCATGTCCTCTACCGTGACAAGGTAAAATTCCCAATGAGAATTAATTAACGTTTTTTATAAGGATCACGTGACCTTCCTGTGCAGTTATATGTGCTGGGACTTCAATAATTCACTGCCACTTTGTATTTTAGTTGCAACTCTTTGATAAGAGGTGAAATAACAATTATAGAAAGGCTGAAGGGAAGTTTGGACACATTAGCCTTTTCATCATGACAATTTGTTCGAGAAAAATTTAAGAGTGAATTGAATTTTTATTTTTTTTATTTTCTGGGTTAAATAAAAAGGGAGACCACATGCATCAAAGCGACCCCACATTGATTATTAAGAATTACCACAATTTATCCATCAATCTCCACGGCAACAGGTCCAGCCCATGTGAAAGAAAATCCTTTTTTCGGCCCAAAAGAGAATGTTAGGATATTCGTTTTCACTGAGCAGACAACACGACGTCGTCGTTTACCTGCCTTCGGCAGCACGCATTTCCCCTTCACTCAAAATTTTCCACGCTTTCCAGGGACCTGACTAATCCTTAAACCGGAATGTGGACACAAACAACACTTCTCCGCCCTCTCACGCATTCCTTAAGCGCGTGAAACAACCCCAGTATAATAATGAGTTCGTATTTAGCAGCGAGTGCATCTCTACTGCTTCCTGTGATTGTTTTTTAAAATATAATGTTTTTAAAAAAACTTGTGAAATAGAGTGTCAAACCATAGCCATGGCGGCTATAAAAGTCACAGGATATATTTGGTATTCAGAATTATTGTGGAGGGTTAATCTAGGAAGAACAAAATATCACTTTAGTAACATAAATATACCAAACCCTCCAATCTCTCCACACCGTCATTAGCTACTCTCTTCCTACCATCTCTCTTGCGGCCAGGGTTTAATCCAATTCTCTATCAAGGTTGGATTTTCTGGTACCTGTTATCTTCTCTTGATTTCCGTTGTAGTTTTGATCAAAATTACATAACTGAGTTGCTGATCAGTGACTTATTTGTCGAAGATTTGTGATATATTTCTCGGCTTTAATCTAGAATTTTAAGCTGTATCCTGCATGGATTTTTTTGTTATTTTTTAAATTCGTATTATTTTTTATTTCGTGTTATAAGTTGCTGCATGAAATTTGTTCTTGTTTGACAGATAGATCTAAGAAATTAATCGCTGTGATATAAGATTTCTCGAAGATAACTACCGTTTTATACGTCTGTGTTATTTTCATTGGCATATTTAAATATGGTTTTATATAGATTTCTTTATGTTTGTTTTGATTGGTTGTGCTTTTACTTGGGCGATGATTTTGTTTAGATTTGAGATAACAGACTTGCAGTTTTAACCCTGTAGCTTTGAAAATTGAAGCTGGAAAAAATCTGGGATGATTTTATGCCCTAATTATTATGGATAATAGTTATTAGATTTTCATGCCGTATTTTTTAACAGTCATGCGGTATTTACGAATAATTACTATCTAAACAGTTCTTCCAGTACTGCCTTTGTTTATTTCTTAGTTCTCTTCTGGTGTTTAATTAATAACACTTGTATATAATCTGAAACTATTAATTTGATTTGACTTATACTTTATGTTGAGTATGCTTTCTTCTTGTAATTTTTTACTCTACCATTGATTGTTTAAACATTTCATATCTTCTTGTAGAACAGTTCAGCTCTAATATATCATCATGGGTAAGGAAAAGAGTCACATCAACATTGTGGTCATTGGCCATGTTGACTCTGGAAAATCAACCACCACTGGCCACTTGATCTACAAGCTTGGAGGTATTGACAAGCGTGTCATCGAGAGGTTCGAGAAGGAAGCTGCTGAGATGAACAAGAGGTCATTCAAGTATGCCTGGGTGCTGGACAAGCTCAAGGCTGAGCGCGAGCGTGGAATCACCATTGATATTGCCTTGTGGAAGTTTGAGACCACCAAGTACTACTGCACTGTCATTGATGCCCCTGGACATCGTGACTTTATCAAGAACATGATTACTGGGACTTCCCAGGCTGACTGTGCTGTGCTTATCATTGATTCCACCACTGGTGGTTTTGAAGCTGGTATCTCCAAGGATGGCCAGACCCGTGAGCACGCACTCCTTGCCTTCACCCTTGGTGTGAGGCAAATGATCTGCTGCTGTAACAAGGTATATTTCTAGTCTCTTCTTTCAAGTTAAGTTTATTACTCGTTTTGCATTGATACCTGTCTTGTCACGTGTATTTGAGAAGATTTCTTTGGCTTGCTACTGATCTTTATTCTTGGGTTCTTGGAACAGATGGATGCCACAACTCCAAAGTACTCCAAGGCAAGGTATGATGAAATTGTCAAGGAAGTGTCATCCTACTTGAAGAAGGTCGGTTACAACCCCGACAAGATTCCCTTTGTCCCCATCTCTGGATTTGAGGGTGACAACATGATTGAGAGGTCCACCAACCTTGACTGGTACAAGGGCCCAACACTCCTGGATGCCCTCGACCAGATCCAGGAGCCGAAGAGGCCCTCAGACAAGCCCCTCCGTCTCCCACTCCAGGACGTGTACAAGATTGGTGGTATCGGAACTGTCCCAGTGGGTCGTGTTGAAACTGGTTTCATCAAGCCCGGCATGGTTGTCACATTCGG